AAAAAAAATACAAAGGTTGTATAGAATAGAATAGAATTTATTGTACTGAACACCCTCATAGGGCAGGGTACAGACTATCTACATATGAACATGTATATAATTATAGATATGACAGGTATATGTATATATGATGTACATTTTGTATAGAGGCATTATTTCATTTACATCATATAAACATTTATGTATATTAGGTTATTGCTGGTTATTTCACTTAATTGGATCGAATATAATAGAATTTTCTTATGGCCTCAGCTTGTACATGTGGTATATAGTCCGGGCAACAAGACTTGACCATTCTTTTGGTGGATTCATAAAGTGTTTTAAGAGGTTTGTTTTATCGGTCTGGGAAGGGTCGCCTATTTCTACCAGTGCCATCAGATTTCTCCTAAGGTCTGTATATAGTGGGCATGAAAGCAGGAAGTGTTCTTCATCCTCTACGGAATGGCAGTCACAGTGCGGACAGAACCTATTTTCAACTGGGGTGTTGGAGTATCTCCCCCTCTCAATTTCCAGGCTGTGAAGACTCAGTCGGAGCTTGGTAAGGTTGTATATGTCACCAGGTCTCCAATGTCATCACACATGTCTGGCCAGAGCTCGAGTGGCAGGGGAAGAGCAGGAGCAGGAGGTCTTGGTGTGGTGTCACTAATGCCAGCTGGAGATTAACTGATGATTACAAGGCCTGTGATTTCAGCAGATTTGTACAGACCCTGATACTGCAGTAATCTTGACTTGCCAAATATCATAGGCTTGGAAGGGACTGTAATGGATATATTTGTTTCATGATCTGTATGACAGCATAGGTACAATAGGATTATGTCTGATTTATTTGTATCTGGAAAGGATATTTATTGCAGAAAACAATCCATTCCCGAAAAAAACACATCATAATTCATACATACACATATACAGACAGACATACATACCTGAAAACACAAAGAAATAATTTAATGCATAGAAAATATCAACAGTACAGATTTGATGATATTATACATAAAATGTCATAGGTTGATCCACGGGAATCTATTGCTCGACACCATCCATTTGAAACATATGCAATTGATGTTGATGGCTAAATATTTGAGAGGATGTGGTGAAATAATATGTTTTCATTATTGTGGACATTTACATTTTGTGTGGATACTTTTCCAAAGAGTATATTTATTTCTTTCGTGTGTTTGATACAATAAAGTAGGTAGTGTCTTTCCTCATTAATGGTTGAACATGTAGAGCATAGTTTCTGATGTAGTGGGGTGGGTGGCTTTGTATGTCTTCCAAGTTCTATAGTTAATTTATGGTTACTTACTCCTAGTTTAGAAAAGTGCACTCGATATTTTCTTATTTTACAGTGACTGAAATATGATTCTAATCTTATTTCATTTTTAACTGTCCTGAATGTCCTCAGTTTTTTCTTGCACCTTTTGGGGCACGGTTGGCCGAGTCGTCTGAGGCGCAGCAATTCGCTGTGCAGAAAAGCGCGTCCCTTGGGCACGCCAGAAATCTATGATCGTGGGTTCGAATCCCGGTTCGCCCCGATTATGTTTCTAGATTTGGTCAGTACGACAACCGTGCTCGTGGGTTTCACCGAAGTGGTTAACGTCTGACACCTGCATCACTTCGGGCTTTCCTATCACATGGAACGGGGCGGTCGGGTAGCCTAGTGGGTAAAGCAGAATTTCACTATGTTGAAGAACCACCATAGTGATAGCAATTCGTAATTTATATTAGTACTGTGTACATAAGAGTATAGAATCCTAGTTCTGCTCGCCTTGCCCAATTGTGTGTTGTTTTGTTGACACCTAACATGGATATACAACATCGGCGCCGCAGTTTCTCGGGGATTAATTAATCAAAGTTGTTCAGACTAGGGGTGTTGCGTCTATACCCCAGATTTGGGTAGATTATTGGTAGACTGAAGCTTATGGTAGTACCTAGACCCTATTTCAAGGGAGGTTTGGCGCTATTATTAAGTTTATCATTTGCTTCAAATGTTATTCATAAATAATTATATCTATCCATAACTAGAATTTTTGCACCAACCAAGGTCCAAGTATTCGTTTCTTCTATTTTACTTGATTTGCCAAACACTGCAACATTTGTTTTTTCACCTTTAATCTTTAGGTTATTTGTTACACGAAATACTCTTAGACCATCAAATAACTCGTGCAGAATTTTTGGAAGTGGCAAAAAGTACAAAGTCATCGGCAAACAACAAATGACAAATGTTTAAAGCATTAAGTGTTATTTTGTTATTTTCTTGTTTGATATGTGGTGGACGATCATTGTGGAATATATTAAATAATCTGGGAGACAAAATGCACCCATGTCTTATGCCGATGTTGGATTTAAAGGATTGTGAAATGCCCCGTCAATTTTCACTTTATAAGAACTATTTCCTGACATTTTATGTGAAATAGCTTTGTTAGGGGTAGTGCTCTGTCAACTGAATCAGAGGCCTTTTGAAAGTCTACAAAGGAAGTGTATACATTTTTCTTTTTACTTTTTGTTAAAACTATTAAATAAATATTTTATGAACAAATACATTACTTGATGTTCGGTAGCCCTTTCTTAATCCAGAATGAATATCTTCATTTTTGGAAACAAGAAGTCTAGACTCTCTAGACTCTTTCCTTTTAGGGTCTGTTAGGGGACTTGTTTGTTTATTGTGACGTGATACATTCTGTGGCAAGTTCCAGATCCCAGAGGAGTTTCTAGGGAGTTAGAGATGTCACAGCAATAACTGGATAACACATTTAGTGCTTCTGTGAGATCCTAAAAGATAAGCACATACTACCTGAAACCCAGAATGGGGCATGCGGTTGACATTCTGTAAGAATGAGGTTCATGAAGTTGACAGGGCTAACTGATACATATAAACAAGGAACATCCTGCCTCATGATAAAAGTGCTAACACCAGCTAGCTACAGATTTTTGAAACTTAGGCCGTGGTCAGCCTTTAACACACCCAGGGCATCTCACAACAGACTCTCAATAAGACTCAGATATTTACAGAGCGCTGAGAACTCACAAACAGGGCTATGTAACTTTCAAGACTGGATGATGTCCAAAAAAATATTTCTTGCAAGGTACGTACTATTTTTTTAAGTTTTCGTGCAACGTTGAAAGGAAGCAGGATTTGCTTTCAAAATGCCACTTTGGGAAACATGTACATTGTCACGTGTTAGTTTTTAGTAATTTATTAAAATAGAGGCGTTTCTTTTCTCCATGTTTGCGGGTATAATATGTCCAGAGTTTTGTTTAATGGGTTTCAAATGGTTTTCGATTAGTATGTGCTCGCATGTGAAACGTAAAATATTAAAATTTCATAAAGAAGAGCACTCCACGTATCTTTCATGTCGGGGACAATACGTATTGAATGACGGTAGGGCGAAGGGCGTTTAGGTTTAGTCTTTATCATATGCGCAGTGGAAATGAGTATCTATTGTTCTTTTTATGTAAAATACATTCATTTGAATATTACTTTTTCTCATGTTATGTTATGTTATGTTATGTTATGTTATGTTATGTTATGTTATGTTATGTTATGTTATGTTATGTTATGTTATGTTATGTTTTGTTTTGTTATGTCATTAAACATTCTTATGGAAGGAAGGAGATAATAATGCTGCATACCCGCATTTGAAACTATTTCCATGCTCCTGGATTTGCCACTAAGTTTTCAGGCTATTTCCAAAGGGATGTTGTGTAGATAATCTCCCCCGTGTTAAAGGAAAGCCATATAGTGTTCCAAAGGGGGTATTGAGAGACTCCTTTTACGTTTGTTTATACCTAAATAGTTAAGGAAGGAGAAAATAGTATTTCAAATATAGTTTTCCAAACGGGACACAGAACGATTCCGTTTACGTTTTTTTATGCCTAACTAGTTAAGGAAGGTGAACATTGTATTTCAAACACGTATTGTAAACTATTTGCATGCAAGAAATGCGAGGCTCCCAGATGTGCCACTACGTTTTCAGGGCATTTCCAAAGGGACGTTTGCATAGACAGCCCCTCGTGTTGGTTGGGTTGGTTGGTTGTTTGGTTGTTTAACGCTGCACTCAGCAATATTCGAGCTATTTGACGGCGGTCTGTAAATAATCGAGTCTGGACCAGACAATCCAGTATTTAATATGATGCGCATCTCTTCACGCAATCGGGATCGATGATCGTGTCAAAGCGAAGCCATATATCTTCCCAAAGTGCGTTTTTAAACAACTCTTTTTAAGTTATTTGATGCCTAAATGAATGTGAAAAGAACTAATACTATTTTAAACCCGTATTTTAGCGTTCCAAACGGGGTGTAGAGCGAATACATTTACGTTATTTATGCCTAAACAGTTAAGGAAGGAGAAAATAGTATTTCAAATACGTATTTTAAACTACTTCGATGCGAAAAATGCGAGGCTCCCAGATGTGCCACTTAGTTTTCAGGCTATGTCCATAAGAACGTTTGCATAGACAACCCCATGTAGTAAAGGGAAGCAATATAGTTTCTAAAAGGGGGTATAGAGCGACTGTTTTAAAGTTATTTTATGCCTAAATGGTAAAGGAAAGAGATAATAATATTTATAATATTTCAAACCCGTATATTAAACCTTTTCTATGCGAAACATGTGAGCTTCACAGATGTGCCACTAAGTTTTCAGGCTATTTCAATTGAGACGTTTGCATAGACACACACACGTACACACGAACACACGAACACACGAACGCACGCACTCATTCACTCACTAACACACAAATAAGAAAGTAATGGTATATGTTAACTATATTGTTCGTACTATATAAGGTTATAGAAAGAGATGGCTGAAACTCGTTAATGGAATTGTGATATACATAAACCAAGAGCATATATTCCTAGTTATAAAGACATTGGTTCTAGTTGAAACTGCCTACACCTTGTGCTAAAAACTGGTAACAGTGTTAACCTAAATTTAAGGATTCTAATGGTTGTACACATTTCTTCAAATGTTTATATATTGTCATTATTTTATTTCTTCCAGGCATGGACGTTGTGAAACAAACGTGAGTATTATTATCTACAGTGGCCATGTAACCTAGACATTGTAGCACCCTACCTTCAGTTGGTTACAGATTTTCATAAATGCACGGCGAAGATAATGGATATCGACGCGTTATGTTTCATTTAGTACTCATACATGTAAGTGGCTTTACACCACTCAGTGTCCGGGAGTCTCAAGCAATAGAAAAATAGGACTTCTTTTGAAAACTTGTTGATTTTACACTTTCTACCTTTGTCTACAGAATGAAGACATATGGCACACAAAAGAGCTCGGCACATGTAAGAGTTTATTGGTGAAGGTTGATGGAATATTCCAGTGCAAACTGTGTCCTGAATCAACGTCACGACGGTTCAATGTCAAGGAAGGACAAATAAACAAGCACACACAACATGCCGTCAAAGTTGGGGGTATGTATAAATTGGTGTTTGTTATTAATCTAATATTGCGTGGTATGTACCTAGCGTATACGTGGCATTACGCATACGTGTAAAACGGTGTCCATTACACAACCTCACAAGCCCAACGCACCATTTTATCTGGTATAATAGTGAGGTGAGGTGAGGTAAAATGGGGTTTAACGTCGCCTCGAAGATTATTGCACTATTTAGCGACGTGCATGCTCGTGTTTGTGTGAGTGGCTGCTTGTACTGGTCCGGACTGATGCCGTTTTATAGTGCTAGCTCACTGAGATACCATGCCACAGTTTAACATGAATACCCCACACAGAGACAGCATACTGACTCCGAGCCGACCAGTCCTTGTTTAAGCACCTTAATGCCGAGCGCCAGACATGTTAACAACAAGTACCATCTTTTGGTATGACGCGGCCGGGGATCGAACCCCGGACCTTCCGCTCACCGGGCGGACGTTCTACCACTAGACCACGGAGGCGGTCCGGTATAATAATCCGTATTTGTGTCCTTGCAGATTTATGGGTGTTAAGCTGCTTTTTGGATTGTACTCCGAAACAAGACCGGTGCCATTACCACTGCCCGTGTGGTAAACTCTTCCGGAGAAAGTTCACATTTGTCCGACTCACGACCACGGTTTGCCCTTTTGTTCTGACAACAAACCAGACAGCTTCTGAGGAAAGAACTTCAGCAGAGTCCCCTAAAATCCAAAAAGTGAAGAGAGAGCAAGTTCCGAAAGTGACATGTTTTGTCTGCAATGCAATGATCTCTAAGAAAAACATTAAAAGACATATTGAGACACACAATGCACGAGATGAAGTGAAAACCAAGTCATACCAACGTGGAATATGCGTTGATAAACACCGCGGTCTCTACATGATCAGCAAGTCCAGTATCGGTCCAGATTACCCACTTCATGTACAAATGAACACTGTCACACAGCAGATACAATGTGAACATGAAAATTGCAATTTAGCTTTGGGTGTTGCAGCAAGGGGCAATGTAGGTATTTATCAGTGCCACCATTTGCAATCAGTTATCATAAAGAAGTGCAAAGCGTGCGGTCACTTCTACAGGTACCAAGAGCACAGGGATGGTATACACAATTTTGACGACCACGTGTTCCTGTCAGTTCGCCTGTGCCACTGGTTCAGAGTTAACTTGAAGGTACATTATACCTAATTTAGTTAGTTTATGGACGACTCCCTTCTCCAAAACAACACTTTGCATATTTATGTGATCGTGATATCTGATTGTTGTATGGCGCATTGTTTGTTGATATATGCACTTGATGTGGGCCGGTGACATTCGGACTTTAAACACTTTTGACTGTTAACTTAGGATTAGTTTAAAATATCGGCATAATGAATGTGATCAATTTCGCCTGCTTAATGGTTTCAGAATCATACAGCCGTTGGAAGGGCTGCCGATATCTTATCAGAAGATTCCGGCTTACATTTTCCCGGAGACAAAATGTTACAGGGATATCTGCACTTTGAGGCAATGTGCGATCACAAGTACAACTTTACCTGTGACATCTGTGGCCGTTTTCCATGTTGCCTGGTGACAGATGCAAATAGGAAATGTGCATTTCCATTAGCATGTAAGTCTAATTTATAATTTCCAGTGTCTAAGAAATGTATAAGCGCATTAACGATGTAGTTTCAAAATGTAAAAATGGAAAGCAAAAATGTAAGGTCCATTATCTCATGGTTGATCACAAACAATATCGCATAATGATGTTTCCTTATCCCTGTTCTCTCGTCTGTTATGGTAAACATGTATTGCTTACAGTGTCACAAGTACCAGGGACAGAAACAGCTACAGATGGAATCAACATGGATGTGTTTTGGAGCCAAACGGTGGAGGCGTCTATTTTACTTCGGGGTTTTGGAAAAGGTGCAAATCCTCATATTGTATTATAAATGACTCATCTTGTCTGTGTGTGTGTGTGTGTGTGTGTGAGAGAGAGAGAGAGAGAGAGAGAGAGAGAGAGAGAGAGAGAGAGAGAGAGAGAGAGAGAGAGAGAGAGAGAGTGAGTGAGTGAGAGAGAGAGAGAGAGAGAGAGAGAGAGAGAGAGAGAGAGAGAGAGAGAGGGGGGGGGGGGGGGAAACTAAAATTAAAGTTACTGTAAGGATATTGTTTATATACACTATAATGTATTTATCATTTCATTCCCTGACAGAAGCAGCCAACGTCGGGCGTGTTACACCTAGTTATGACAACTGGGCTCCTTTCATTGGATTAGCCAGAAAAGATGAAAATGCTTTCAACACTGAAGCTGAAAAAGTTCGATCTCTCAGAACCCATCTTCGAGATACAGATTTTGATACAGGGGATAAGGAACTGACTGAAGATTTCCTGATCCAAATGTTATGTGAAAAGAAGGTAAATATGACATAATCGAAAGGCCTTATTGATATCAACTAGGCACATTTGTATAATTCTTGCAATCTTGATATGCGTAGGTAGTAATATTACAAATTGAGATATGATATGATATGATATGATATGATATGATATGATAAGCATAGTCACTCATGTTTTCGACATTTTCTATATCATATCATGTAGGTTCTGGATGTACGGCACTGGTGTACAAAGATGGAAGTAGACGCCAAAGGGACCAAATTAGAGATGATCAACAGCTTGAAGGAAAAGTTGAAAAGCAAATCAACCTTCAACAAGTTATTTTCAAGCATATGGGGCCATTCTGGTAATTATGCCTACTATTGCATTTAAAATGATGAATAAAACATATATAGTGTGTGTTCCCACATTCAAGTGCCAGACTAAATGATGCAAAATAACTACTTACTTTGTAACACAATTGCTTTTGCTTGGTAATATTATTTTCGTTAAATGTCTTCAAGATAGGCCATCCCCAGCCCCCTCTGCATAAGAATCAGCACTGAGTCTGTTAATGGAATGTCATTTTGTAACTTGAAACTCCACAATCTGACTACTGGAGTATATAGTATACTATTAAAAGCAAGGTTAAACCAAATGTGTCCCATCACTATGTTAATGTTCATTCAGGTGGATGGGTATCAGCGTCCTGCCCCCATAGAATAGTGTACGCATTCAAAGCTATTCTGAGGCCTGAAAGTGTCAGAGACCATGTCGACATCATTCTATCTATGTCAAGACAACCGCCAGTCATCATTAGTGACGTAGCCCCAATGATGTCACGCCATGGTAACAAGCGGCGGAAGAACATGTTCTCGCCCAACGAAGGACGCTTGGGTGAAGCGACTGCAGACAACATAAAAAAAGCTAAGGAGGGGGTATTTTCAAAGAGTATACCTTGCATGAAGGAATGGGTGACAGTAGCACCAGTCTCCGACTATGATTTGCCAACCTCAAATGAAACGTTCTGTTTGCTGGATAGGTTTCATGAAGGGAATACAAAATCAGATGAGGAACTCCTAAGGCGTATAACGTTTGTTCCCGAAATGAAGGGCTCAATAAATTCACAAGTTGAAGAGCAGCTGCACAGGGAAATGAACCGGAACAACTACTTTCTAGATGCGATGTCGCCGGGAAACTACATGTTTGTCCTGCGATTGCTTCTACATTTTCACAATGAACATACAAACAGGAAAATGACAGAAGCAATCAAAGGAAAACTGTACACAGACATTTCGTATGGTGAAATACGTCATGACAAGTTTGGCCGCCTGCATCTTTCAGGTAAGAACTTATAAGTGGCATTCTATGACATGATCATGTATGACGTTTATTGGGAAGTGAGTGAGTGAGTATGGTTTTACGCCGCTTTCATCAATATTCCAGCAATATTGCGGCGAGGGACACCAGAAATAGGCTTCACATGTGGGAATCGAACCCGGGTCTTCAGCGTGACCAGCAAGCGTTTAACCACTAGGGTACTCCACCGTCCATATGAAGAAATTGAATACAATATAATAGGTTGACATTATTTTGACGATATACGCCAATCAGCACGCACAAGCGTCGTATTTCATTTCCAAAGTGACATTTTACCTTCCAGATTTGGACAATGCAGCAGAAAAAGAAGGTAAATTGATACAATTTATTTCTAACATGTTGATATACATGTACCTAAACATGCAGCATGATTTAGCATCCATTACGTGCCTTGTCTAATTATAAGTTAGATGACAAGAAATAATAAAGGCTCTTGTTGTATTTTATTTGAACTTTTACAATGGCATGTTAAACTTTATCTGTTGTTTTTCAGTGATCCATTCATATAATTTTCAAGGCTATTGTTCCTTTTACAACCAATGGAATCTGCTTCGTCGGATAATCGAGATAATCGTTCTGGTGTTGACCTTTCATATTTACAGGGAAAACAGACCTTTGGACGAGGACTGAAGACGCACAGAAGCACAAGAAAATATCGCTCAAATGTAAGTAACATTTATGTATCTGTTGGGCAGTGTGGTACCCTAGAGGTCGGTGTTCTTCCCGATGGTCAATGTCCGATTTCACACGTGGGAAATGCATGAAGCAAATGTCTTATGTCCCTGTATGGGATATTGCTAGAATAGTGCTAACAGCGGCATCAAATATTAGTCATTTCACTGATGAATCTGTTGACCTGCATGTATTTTTAACACATTAATATAATGTTTTAATGTGAAGTTCACATGTCATGAAGTCACATGTCATGTCAAGAGGCCGGTCACATGACCACGAAACTGACGTTTATAAGCGTATGAACAACACACATTGAAATTTAGATGCATGTCTTCATGATACTGTATTTCAGAAATTGTCGTAAACAATGGCGGACTTCTTCCACATCCCCATGGGAAACTCCTGGGAATTCTCTATAACGAAGAATTGAGAAGTGTCAGTATTGATCATTTGGGCATTTTCATCTT